CATCGAGTCAGCTTCTGTGGTAGGAAAGTTCACCACTTGGACGTAGCTTATCACTTTTGTGAAACCCACAAACAAGGATATGATGTGGCGACCTAGAAACATAATCTGGGCGAAACTGGGATTCGAGTCCTTTATCACATGTTTCTAGCAGGAAAGGGACGCAACTCTGCAGAGCTAATTGCGGCGCCTTGCACAACCTGTCAAGCGTGCCGCCAGCTGCTTGGGTGTTTGTTGTACCTATGGTTTTCCGCGGCGGGGTGAATGTTCCTTGTTTAGAGGGAAGCCAGTGCAAAGATAGATAAAATCGGTACAAATTGTGTCGTGAAGCAATGATGTGTATGGAACAAGGGGGTGATGTATTAAATGGATGTGTTTTGTAGAAGGAGCGGCCGTGGAGTTATCTGTTTCATTAACTAAATAACGTATCGTATTTTGCATTAGTGAAGATCTTTGCCGCCTCTGCTATGTAGGACGCGTAATGAATACGCCAGCTTCACGTATACGAGGGTTTCTGAATGGCCGCGTAAAATCGAAAGTTCCTATTGTGTTTCAGCAAAATGTATTGATCCCAGTCACGAAGTCTTTGCACTAATTAACAGTTCAATGTGTTATCGGGGAATTTACATTATACATTACATGGAGCTATATTTCCCACAGTAACACAGGTTCTCGAATTACCATTTCCCGAGTTAAAAGTACTCATCCATTATGTTTAGTAACGCTCATTGTGATAATGGATTGACGCGTAACACGTTCCACTGCATTAGCTGTAGGAACCCTTGTGTTCGTGCTGCAATGTCAAAATCATATTTAATGTAGCAAGAATGTCCCATAAAGTCCGACCAGCTAAAGACTAACCTCGACTTTCAGATTTGCGGTTGTTATTGAATATTTGATGCCCAGAAAATTCAGTTGGAATCGGCGGTATGTGTCGTAGGTTTCAAATGTCAAAATGTCAGCTTATCGAAAACTCAATTACACCTGAAATCACATGTTTTTCGACATTCTAAATATATTTGTTATTTCTCCGTTTGACTTTGCTTGCGTCCACCTAAACTGGTAGAGGGGTGATTGCGATTGAGCGACACGAAGCATAGCATTCATTGGTACTCGGTATCAAATAAAAATAAATAGCGAACTACATGTACATGAAGTAAAAGTGCTTTCCCCCAAATAACCTTTAGGAGAGCGGTTTATTAAAAGAACTGTATCAAATACATTCTACACGCTATGACATCATGATACAATGGTGACGTCATATGCTTCCCTGACAACTTAACCGTCCGAATACAGAGAAAAATCATCATACCACGTGATTTTGAAAATGTGGGACATGTTACAAAATAGCATTCAATGGCCAGATATGAGAAACCCCACTGAACAACGTTCTTGACCAAATCAGCTAGCTGCACACAGTTCAATTCGTTTTACAATGTAGTGTTATTCCCGTCAAAATCTCACGTCAGAGCTTCGGGGAGCGGGTTAAACAATACCGAGGCACCATAGCTTGGAAACCTAACGTAACATTAAATAACGCACATGCATGGCCTCTTGTTGACAAAACAGTGTCCAGTGACGTAATGGGCGCAGACTAACATCCGGCAATTCTCCGCGTCTGTCATGGCACCAATGCCGTTATTCCTGGTATTTAACGAGTCTGTCACGACTGTGTTTATTGACGCTGCTACATGTCGCAGGGATGTGGGCTTTGTTTATAAATCTGCCTTTGACTTGACGTTTGAATCTAAACAGCGTATGGCTTGGATAACTCACATTGACACGTTGGAGTGTATTCTAAGGCAAAGGTTTGAAGCAAGCTTTCAAAAACACACGGAGTCAGATAATTATGTCCAAAGTCCCTGTTACAGATGAAGAAATAATGCTGTCCATGAGTCTTGTTAACGTAAATTGTGGCCATTGACATTTAACCAAGACAGGTATGTGTTAATTACTTGAAAAAAAACCCTAATCAATTCCGCGACTTTCCTTATCGTAAGTGAGGTAGTGAGTGCGTGCGTGAGTGCGTGCGCGTTTGGTGGTTGAGTGAGTGAGTAAGTGAGTGCGTGAGTTGGGTTTAACGCCGCTTTTAACAGTATTCCAGTTATATCACGGCATGTCAGCTTAATGTGGGAGGAAAGCTCGAAGTGATGCAGGTCTCAGACGTTTACCACTTCGGTGAAACCCACGAGCACGGGTATGGTGCTGACAAACCTGGAAACATAATCGGGGCGAACCGGGATTCGAACCCACAATCATAGGTTTCTGGGACGCAACTCTGCACGGCGAATCGCGACGACTGGGCCACCCGTGCCCCTTGGTGGTTGAGAGTGTGGGGGAGTGAGTGGTTGAGCGAGCGAGTGAGTAAGTGGTTGAGCGAGTAAGGAAGAGAGTGGTTGAGTGAGGGAGTACAGTTTAACTTCTCCTTAAGCCATGTTCATTTACGGCCAGGGACAACAAACGTCACACGTTGTACTTTGTGGGAAATCGAACATAAGCATTGTCTTTAAAGCTTTAAACACAAGGATGTCCTACCATCTTATCGGTGTAGGGTATATATTTTGTCAATTCGGTTCATTTTGATGCAACAGAGACACGAGTATCTGGCTCTCACTCGGGACTTTGTTAAACTATTTTTCAAAGCGTGTTCTGGAATGGAGGTCGCCAGTTTAAAACTTGTTCCGGATAGCACGAGAAAGCTGCTTTCTGATTGGCTAATGTCGTATGTAAGTTAACCATTTCAAAGGTCGGTCAAAGTTCGCGAAAAGTCGTTCTGGCGTGATCTGTAATGGGATGTCCACAGATCTTTCTTTATCGGCAGTGAGAATTAACATCAGATTTTAATGAGATTGAGGCGGATGGGGGATAATGTTCATCAAGCTTGACTCCTGAGAGTTTCTGGGGGTCTGTCCTGCCCAGCACTGAAACACATGTTACATGTGGGGCCAACTAAAGCACGTGCCTTTGTTCGATTTATGCCTCTGTTCACCCATAGTGAATGATTAATAGATGGTAATGTGACTGTTATCTTCGAGCACAATAAGGCAGCTTTGGTTGTGTACTCCCCGGGGAAATGAGAATGAAATCCAAGTGCATACTGATCCAATGAACAGGGTAAAAACATAGGGCTGAGGGCATTCTACAATTTGGCACTATACATATACCCAGTATTATAGTAAAGTCAAATTTCAGTTTCATTTTTGTGTGAAGAACTTTGGCCAATACATGAGAGTGAGTGAGTGAGTATGGTTTTACGCCGCCTTTAGCAATATTCCATCAATATCACCAGAAATGGGCTTCACACATTGTACCTATGTCGGGAATCGAACACGGGTCTTCGGCGTGACGAGCGAACGCTTTCACCACAAGGCCCTCCATATAATAATAGTGCAAACGTTTTCATAAATTCTCCAGGTTATTAATTATAATTACCATATTTGCGAATACACATTACATAACTCAATATAATGTTTACAGATCAATACGACATGATGTTCATGCATTTTTAACAGATTTTGCAAACAGGCCACATACGTTAACATGATTCAATAGAATGCCATTTACCCTAGTTCCGTCGTAAAAGTAAAACATTACATCTTAATTTACCAAACCCCACTGCTGACATGTTTGCCATTATAAATACTCAAATATCTTTTTAACAGTTCTATATTCTTTATACATCACATATTGGGTGTTATTGTTGAGTGTTGATATCTATTCTTGACGGAATTCATCGAGAGGCGACGTTATAAATACCCTAATATAGGTTATATTGTCCCCAACTGACTGATTTCATCATACAAATCCCAAACTATGCGAAAATAATTTTTTTTCGAAAAGATGCTACCCAAGTACTTTGACCAATGTTGGCGGAATACATAAACATGCTACCTACGTTAGGGGATACACCTTCGTGCATTCTGGTTAATTTTAACCAGTACTTTATAACACGCTTTGACATTATGATATTGTTATTATTTATCACTGTCGCAGGACTGGTGTCACTATTTGTGTGAGTGTATAACGCCGCTTTTAGCAATATTCCAGCAATATCACAGCAGGGACACCAGGAATAGGATTCACACATTATACCCATGTCGGGAATCGAACCCGGGTCTTCGGCGTGACGTGCTAACGCTTGAACAACTAGGCTACCCCACCGCTCCTCTGACACTATTAACCACTATTTTTGGTAGTCCAGCGTTTAGCAGCTCGAAATACTTTGTTGTAAAATATATATCCGTGTGATTCTATTTGAATGATTCTATTTGAATTCCAAATTCTTCGTTACGAAGCCATCACTCTGTGTATTTAGTTATAATACCAGGTTGCCTTGGATTCCTTGGTCATGGGTTTCACCACGGTAAACGTCTTAGACCTGTGCGTTTTCCACATTGGGGCATTGAGGTAGCCTAGTGGTTAAAGCGCTTGCTTGTCCTGCCGAAGTCCCGGGTTTGATTCCCCACATGGGTACCATCTGTGAAGCCTATTTTTTGTGTCCCCCACCGTGATATTGCTGGAAAATTGCTAAAATCGGCGTAAAACCATGTTCACTCGCTCCTCCCAAATTGAGGTTATACACAGTAATATAACTATAATACTCTTTAAAGCGGCGTGAAACTAAACTCACATGTGAGCACAATTTCAACAGCAGTAAAACTTTGAAGAAGACACTTCTTGCAACAGTAATGTACATGTCTGTTCTTTAAGACTGCACTGTTCAGATATATGGCGGACTGTAAATGACTGAGTCCGGACAAATTCTTACCCGGAATCCCCATGATTGTTTGTAAAATATCATGTCTTGACCGGACAAACCAGTGATTGATATTATGAGCATCCACCCACACCGTCAGGGTTCGAGTACACGCGATCAGCTAGAGTCATCCAGTCTGCCACCCGATCCACTAAGCCTCCTCTTACGACCAGCTATAGGTTAGTGGGGACAAATTGTAACCCACTTTGGAAACTGTAGTGACATAATTTTGTTTGCTATTTCCCAGGGTCCGTACGAGCCGTTGGCCGAGACATCTTCAAGCAGAAGGTGGATATCACGGTACAAGAGCAATCAAGGGAGGTAATCGATGGCGGTAAGACCCAGGAGCACACAGTCTTCAAGGTCATTTTGCACAAAGGGCTGGAAAATGAACGCGGGAGTCCCGAAGGTCAAGAGGAACGTTTGTCCCTCGAAAACATGGAGGTTGCTGTGCCTACAAACATTTCAGCTTTTCATTTGAATGCTGGTCAATTCTGTTCTGCGTTCCCGTATCATATCATATTCGACGATTTATTGAAAATACGACAGTGTGGAGTGATGATTCACAAATTGTGCCCTGTTCCTATCCGAGAAGGCATGGCGGTTACGTCCTTGTTCCGGATAATCCACCCTAAAATGAATCTGTCCATCGTGAACATTCAGAAATTCATCAACGCAGTGTTTCTCCTGACTGTGTCCCCGGAGGAGTCAGAGAAGGAGGGTGACAACAAGGCTTTGGTCCTGAAAGGTAGGCGAACACATGTTGACCTGAACATAAATTGGCCTTAGGTAACGAATGAAAGCAGAAAGCGCAACGTGGAGTTTGTCAATGACGTAAAATATATTTTATAACCATTGGTAATGTGTTATAATACTTATCTCCCGGTCCGTGAAGATCCGGAGAAGAATAGGTCTTCAGCAACCCATGCTTGCCGTAAAAGGCGACTATGCTTGTCGTAAGAGGCGACTAACGGGAGCGGGTTGTCAGGTTCGTAGACTTGGTTGATGCATGTCATCGATCCCATTTGCGTAGATCGATGCGCATGTTGTCAATCACTGGATTGTCTGGTCCAGACTCGATTACGCCGTCAGGTAGCTGGAATATTGCTGAGTGCGGCGTTAAAAAAACAACCAACCAAAAACCAATTGTGTGACAACGTATATTAGATTAGCAGTTTAATTTGATTTGAAACCATCTTTTTAACTTCGTAACAAACACTGTGTTGGTACAACAGATATCCCGCAGCGAGTCCTTCACTTGAAGAAGAGAGTGAATATAACTTCAAATAGTCAGCAATGTTACATCAATAGTCCTCAGCATTAATCCACAGACCCGTGAAGATTCCGGGGTAGAATAGGTCTTCAGCAACCCATGCTTGCCGTAAAAGGCGACTTACGGGATCGAGTGGTCAGGCTCGCTGACTTGGTTGATGCTTGTCATCGATCCCAATTAGGTGGATCGATGCTCATGATATCAATCACAGGATTGTCTGGTCCAGACTCGATTATTTACAGACCGCCGTCATATAGCTGGAATATTGCTGAGTGCGGCGTTAAACAACACACCAACCAACATTAATCCACACCGTCGGGTACAATGACACACAATAACCGAGGTCACACACGGTCGCATCACTGTTGCAGTGGGTTATTTCAAGTATTGATTTCGTGGAATCTTGAATGTCGTCGGGATCCGTCAGATGGACCATATTTGATTTTAATAAATATCCCCAAAAGCAAATCAATAGCAATCTCTTATCGTTGAGATGTCACCCAGACCCATCATTGCATTTGGGTCTGTGCATCTTGTACATGGTTGTATTTATTGCAGGACAGATGATTTGGTTGGAAGCGTCTCATCATATGATCTTTATTGGATCCCCTCGCCTCACAAGCCTCAACGAACTTATGGAAATGAACGTCTACCTAGCAGATATCCCCCTGTATGACGTCACGCGCGAGCTTGTGCTGCTTAATCAACAGAGGATAGCTGAGATAGATATAGCGTGAGTAAATGATAAAAAAAATTTTGTTTGTTAGATAATAATCGAGTCCGATCAGACAATCCAGTGATTGGCACCAGGCATATCCATCCTCGCAATTGGGATACCATGACGAGCAATCACAGTCACCGAGCCTGAGCACCCGATCCATTCAGTCGCCTCTTACGGCAACATCGGTTGCTCGGGACCTTCATTCTCACCCGGAATCCCGACGGGAGATCAAATGATGATGATGATGATGATGATGATGATGATGATGAGAAGAAGAAGAAGTCACACACCCATGACAACAAAAACAGTATCGTCAATATGAGCTTGTATACACGACGTTCCCCCTTTACACGTGGATGCACTGGGCCGATATACTGTTTATATCCGTTTAATCAGGCCGTGTACAACTCACGGAGGACAAATGAACTCTGTGCATGAATTTCGTGAGAACCTGATGCTGAAGCAATGTGTCGAGTTGGGGCCGCAGAGATTTGGCACATGTAGCATGAAAAATATTGGTGATATAATCCGAGCACCATCTAACTTTATGCATCTGGATCTACTCTTAAAGGTTTAGAGTGACAGAACACTCTCAACAAGAGTGTATGACAAGAGGGATGACTTCAAATTTCCAATAGTCAACTTTCCCTCCGTGTCGAATAATATTCCTGCAGCTCCAGCCCTCGGTATCTACATTTCACACCTTTTGAGGTATAATCGAGCATATTCTTTTTATCAAGATGCAGTGCGTGTCATTCGACTCTTGCATCAAACTTCTTTGATCAAGGTTACAACATTCAAAGTCTCAGTAAAGCTTCAAAACGTGTTGTGGTGGACATGCGGAGGACATTTCCAATTTGCATCAGTAACAAAAGTGATTTCCTATTCTGACTTGTACACATGTTCATGTGTTGTTTCAAGTGGATACTTAACTTGCCTGTGCATGTGTTTGTGGCGGTGCCACTGATGGGTCAGGATACGTTCACAATTTTGCCAACACCTGGTATCTTCACTTGATAGTGATTCATAAACACTGTTCATGCTGTGGTCGGAGTCGTACAATTAACTCTGAGTTTCTGAGAGATTTATTATAAATCAGGAAAGGTTTTGTCGCCTTTATTTCCCCTTGCTTGAAACAGGCAGTGTCTTCAGTCGTTGGTTAGAAATAGCGACTTCAGGATCGTATGTACACACGGATGATGGAGGAACGAGACGATGAAATAACAAAGACAACTAAACATGACAACAAAATAAGAGTACTAAGTATTTGAATCATATAATGGATGGTGTCATCGTTGTGATAAACCAATCATATGTCCGATAAATTTTGTATCACGATCCGAAAAATATCAGATGAGGACACCAACCACAAAATACTTTTAAAGAGCTCCACACATGGAATAGAGAAACTATTGATCATTAAAACTGAAGATATATATTTCCCTGGGTCACAGTACTCATGTACACAAACATGGCTTCAGGTGGCTAAATAATAAATGCACCATGTCTTCAAATTCAATTACTTTCAGAATGTCATATGATAAAGACGGTATTATCCTCTTCTTTCCGTATCGTTAATGTAATATACATTTGTATGTGGAATAAATAACATGTATTATGCTCGCCACAGGTTTACATAATACAATTTGTATTCTTATATATGATATAAACCATACGAACACACTCGCCAAATTATCTCTATTTGATCGTATTTAACATGAAAGCCAAATTCTGGCATGATACATTATTTTATTCCAAATGTTTGGCTTTAATGGTACGGAAAAAAACTCGGCTAAAAAATCTCTATGTATTGCTTCGATACAGCAAAAAGTTGGACGAAACAACAGCGGCGTTGAAGCGGACGTCCCAGGCGTTGGAGATAGAGAAACAGAAGACGGATGTGCTGTTGTATCAGATGCTGCCACAGAAGGTTGCGCATCAGCTGAAGAACGGCAGACAGGTGGAGGCAGGTGAGACAACATAAGTACAAAGGGACTTCCTGATGGAGATTTAACGGGCGCTTCCAGCTAATGCTGATTTCATGCTCAGTGTGTGAGGCGCTTTTTACCCCGCTTTTAGCAACATTCAAGCAATACCACGACAAGGAACACAATAATTTAAACACAAGCAACCCAAATGTCCCAGGTTGCTACAGGTAACGTTTAATGTAAATACTTAATTGGTAAAAATCATCCCCCAATATTCCACATTGTCCCATGGAATGAAGAGCCATTAGCAGCCATTTGGTGAATGGTGAGGTGAGGTGACATTGGGTTTAACGTCGCGTCCAAGATTATTGCACTTATATAGCGACGTGCATGCACGTGTATGTGTGTGTGTGTGTGGCTGCTTGTACTAGTCCGGACTGATGCCGATTTATAGTGCTAGCTCACTGAGATACCATGCCGCAGTTTAACATTAATACCCCACTCAGACACAGTATACTGACTCCGAGCCGACCAGTCCTTGTTTTAGCCCCTTAATGCCGAGCGTCAGACAGGGTAACAACAAGTACAATCTTTTAACGTCTTGTTGTATGACGCGGCCCGGGATCGAACCCTGGACCTTCCGCTCTCCGGGCGGACGCTCTACCACTAGACCACGGAGGCGGTCATTTGGTGAATGGAATTAGGCGCATTGTAAATGGACTTTATCAACCACGGCTATGATGCTCGATATATGTGGTCCTATCTGTCGAAACAAGTCCAATAATGCTTCCCATGGCTTGGATAGATTGCAGCATGATGTTAGAACGGAAACATGCATAGCGCATGACTTCCACATTGAATCGCTGAAGGGAATTATAGATAAGAACCTTGTTGAGACCAACTAGTTTGGCCTGCATTCATCGGCAGGTCTACATCACGTTAATCTCATTTGGTCCTCGCTTCTGGTAATTATCAGCGCTTGGAGGCTCATGTATTAAATTACTTTCACTTGAATTGAAAAGGGTAAAATCCATAGAATTTAAAATAATGAGGTAAGTAGGCTACGTTTAATGTTTGAGGTCAGAAGGCGCCACATCCAGCCAGACTTAGGTACTATAGCGGAAGGATCGATCACACTCGCGCATGTGCCAAAAGTGTGGAAGGTGTTTGAAACAGGCTAATGACACTAAGTTATCTCCGTCAGAGGGACGCAATAAGCTGTCATTCTTTCAAGGAGAACATTTTCAGTCGTAGTTGACGGTTTCAGGCTTGGTTCAAAGACGTCCTCTGAAAGACTCTGAAAGACTAAACTTGCCATTTTGAAATCAGAAACACTTTCAATCATTTAAGTATGAAATAGGCTAATTCGGCCATTGACGATCGTGCAACCTCAAATATAAGGCATTATTACATTACGACGCAGCGTCTTTCAACGCACGGAAGTTGTCCATCTCAATTACAGGCGCCATCGGCCATGCGTTTGTTGACGGCATTGGATATAATCGAACGTGGCATGGCATCATTTCTCCTGGTTTCTGTTTGGACGTGGTTATGACCGAAATCATGCATTTCGTGTAATTTATTTCAAATGTATAACATTTCACAAACGGTTATGACCGAACGCTTTTGCATTTGATGTCTTTTATTGCAAATGTATACGATGTCATAGACGGCTTTGACCAAAGTCGTGTTCGTTTCAAGTATTTTTTTCCAAAGCTCTGGTCTTGATATTGAGAAAGTTTGTTGACACCAACCGGCTGTGACGATAAACAGGCTAAGAATGTCTTCCCTTGACAAATCTAACATCGACTGCATTATTGAAATTCTACATGTTAAACTGATCTGCCGGTGCTCATTCAAAGTTAGTTAAAAATATACCTTTTCGCTTAAAATTCAAAATACCCGCTGTAAGGAAGTAATGCCACAGTGAAATGTTTTTTGTAATAAAATGGTCGCCATGACTGGTATTTCAATTTTGACTTCCACATGACGAATGTACCAGTTTTCATACAGCAACTTAACCATACCTGAATAATGAAACGGTAACCTTCTGGCATATAATAAGCAATATGAAAGTCAACGTCATTCATAATAAAACAATAATCTATTGACCACGTTAACTTGAGATTTGAGGATAAACACCACATATGACATCTTAGGTCACGCTAAAGGTACTTATCGTCCAAAACTGGCTCGAACAGGAGATATCGCTTGGGTGAGATCGAGCGATATCTACACTGTAAATGTTACAATATGATGTGTTTGTATGATAGCAATGGCAAAACAAATTGGGTAACCGACTTAAGGAACCTGCTGAATAATTATGGTTTTGGTTACATTTTTAAATTAGAACATATTGCTTATCCGAAGTTGTTCATAAATGCTATAACACAAAGATTAAAAGATTTATATTTTCAGTCATGGAATGCAACTCTAACGCGTTCACCAAAGTCCCTGTTATATAGCAGTTTCAAGTCATATATCATTGCAGAGCAATACCTTTTCAGTGTTAGTCTTAGAAAATTTAGGGTAGCACTTGCAAGATTCCGATGTTCATCACGCGATCTTTTAATTGAAAAAAGGTAGATATCAAAATATTCCGAGAGAAAATAGACTCTGTCCACTATGTGACCTAGGATTAATTGAGGACGAGTATCACTTTTTACTAGTATGTCCGCATTATGATGAATTAAGAAAAGTATATTTACCAAAATATTTTTATGTAAACCATTGTACATTTAAGTTTAAACTATTACTGACCACTAGCAACATTGAAACCATAAGAAATCTTTCTATGCACATATATCATGCTTTTATACAAAGAAAATCAAGTTTGGAAATTATATGATTGTACCAATTGCTCCTGTAATCATGATTGTACTATAGGCCTGTGGCCTCCTCAGTACGTTGAATAAAGAAATTGATATCGATGCAATGAAATTGCATCACAATGCTTTGCAGACCATTGTGACGTCATTGGTTACAGTGACGTCACAATCAAATGACATCAGTAATGGCTCTGCCACTGAAGCTGTTAGCAGTACTCTTTAAAACTTGGACACTGCTTATTACTGTCTACAAACTGAAAAAGTTGGAAGAATGATGACAAGAAGGATGACAAATAAAATCTCACCCTCGTGTCTTTTGATATCAAACATATCAACATTCGTTGTTAAAAGTGGAAAAAACTCCACGGCAAGCCTCGGAGTTTTGCCACTTTTATCAACTCGCGTTGATATATTTGATTTCAAAAGACACTCGGGTGAGATTCTCTATTTTTTCAAATATGTTTTTTTTTAAAATGAGGAGAGTTTTAATAACATTGGTGTTAGCCTACTCGGGCTATGGTACTTGTGGTACTGTTGGGGTATATGTGGGTCAGGATGACGCTGTTACAAGTGGCGATCCAACTCTTCCGATGTTGTGTCGGGTTCATGTCTAGCGATTTGGAACAGCCACATGCTAAAACTACCAAATCCAAATATGTCCTCCTGTATGCTGTTGGCTGCTGAACGTTTATGGCGATCTCAGCCAGATGCAGTATAAATCCTCACTCGTCAAAGAACCAAATTCTCCATCGGTTTTGAGGGTATTTTCAACGTGCTTGCCATTGCAGTTGACGACATTGATGCGTCACACGACACCTCTGACAGTCAGTCTGGCTCTGGGACCTGGCTCACGAAGGAAGTGTGCTCTCTCTGGTCAGATATCCTTTGCCATCCTGGACTCGCTGATGTTACTGGGGATGGCTTTTGCCGCAATTGCCCAGTAACACGGGGTTGGTCTGACACGGATTGGTCACTTTGCTGCTGGTACAGATTTCCAAGACTGGAGAAGGTACTCTGGCACACATTGGCTATAGCCGACTGCGATTACACTTTTTGCAGTTCGCAGTTTGAGTTCGCAGTTGTAAAAGTTGCGACCCTTTTGGCAACCGAGAACTATTCACTAAGCTCCACGTGCTTAAAATGGAACGACCCGTGATTCTCATATGGTGTCACCTTTGTGTATTGTTACGTTTGGTTTACGCATTTGGTCGTTGTCGTTTTGATGGTTCCAACAATGACATTATTTTGTAAAAAACATGTTTATGTTTGTTTTTATCTCATAGGCGTTTCTTTATTTGAGGAGTATATGTACGTACATACATGTATGTGGTTAATTTACAGAGGTGGGGTGAGGTGAGATTGGGTTTAACGTCGCGTCCAAGATTATTGCACTTATATAGCGACGTGCATGTACGTGTGTGTGTTTGTATGGCTGCTTGTACTAGTCCGGACTGATGCCGATTTATAGTGCTAGCTCACTGAGATACCATGCCGCAGTTGAACATGAATACCCGACTCAGACAGAGTATAAGGACTCCGAGCCGATCAGTCGTTGTTTTAGCTCCTTAATGCCGAGTGTCAGACAGGGTAACAACAAGTACCATTTTTAACGAGTTTTGGTATGACGCGGCCGGGGTTCGAAGCCCGGACCTTCCGCTCTCCGGGCGGACGCTCTACCACTAGACCACGCAGGCAGTCGTAATTTACAGAGGAAGTGTGTCATTCTAAATCATACTCAGTGCAAACACAGACATATAAGGTGAACTTTACCTTTGACTTTAAGATACAAGCTATATTAAATCGTTTCGATTTTGAAGAATATTCTCCGCCGAAAGATGAAAGACTTCTGCCTGTACCCAATACTCGTGTCACGTACATCACCCGGTACGACGTAATCAGTGTGATGGCCGACGGGGTTTTCAGGAAATTAAGTCCATGTTTTTCTTCAGAAGTCAGCTTCATAATACGTCTTTGATGCCATAATATCCCCAGCAAATCCAACAAAACACCCAACAACTACGAACACAAACGTTTTAGACGATGAGGTCGAGACTGGGTCTTTGATGCTGGCATTTCGCCTTAGTCGTTTGTGGTATATTTGAGTTTTTGCGTTGTTTGCCAACCAATTTTATAGACTTTAGAATGTCTGAGATAGTCGACGCCCGAACGATGGCGATATATAGATGACAGTATTTCAGGATGAGATGACATGTGATTATGTGAGAGCAATTGATTGATGAGGAAAATGAGATCTTGTGAATATCAGGGTTAATTTTGTTCTTCAGCAACCCATGTTTGTAAGAAGCGCCTAAAGGGATCGGGTGGTTAGACCTGCTGACTTGGTTGATGCATGTCATCGTATTCCAATTGAGTGGATCGATGCTCATGATGTCAATCCTGGGTTGTCTGGTCCAGATTCGATTATTTACCACCGTCATATAGTTGGAATATTGGAGCGGCGTAAAACAACAAACAAACAATTTCTAGAGATCATGTAGTGGTTCTACAGCAACATGGACGCGTGCATACATGCATGTGTGTTAAAGTGGATGTACAGCTTGTATGTGCGTATATCTCTATAAACGCTTGGTCGTTTGTTATGTGAAGCCGCAGTCAGAAATATTCATGCTATCTCACACCGGCCTATGAATAATCAAGCCTGGAAAAGACACACCAGTTGTCGATATTATGTGCAACGTACCAAACTAACCAAGTCACTTGGCCTGATCACTGAATCCATTTTGTCGAATCTTACGTAAGACCCGTAAAGCGAGAAGAGAATAGGGACTCGGCAACCCATGCCCGTAAAAGGCGACTATGCTTGTCGTTAGAGGCGACTGACGGTGATCGGGTGGTCAGGCCCGCTGACTTGGTTGATGTATGTAATCGTATCCAATGCGTAGATCGATATTTATGATGACAATCACTGTACTGTTTGGTCCAGACTCGATTATCTACTGATTGCCGTCATATGGCTGGGATATTGCGTAGTGTGGCGTTAAATAAAAGCGACCCCCCCCCCCCCCCCACACACACACACCAAAAAGACCCAAAATACATAACAAAACAAACAAAAAACAACCAAACCAAGCATAGATTACTTGGGACCAATTCTGACCAAGGTTTCCAACAGGGTACGTGTGATGATTTAATCCTGTGTTTGTTTATTGAAATATCTTCATAACATATGTCAGAATATGCGTATGTTTGTAAATACGTATGTTTGTGTGTGCGTCTGCTTGTAAATAAGTTTTCATGTTTACGTGAATGCTTGTGTGGGCGTTCGTTTTCATATGCGCTGCTGGGCAAAACGATGTTTAAACCAATATTTCATTTATATCGTTAGCAAAGCAATTGCGGCGGAAAACCCAATCTTATAAAAATAAGATCTTTTACACGACACCTCTATGCATCAAAGTCAGAGGAAGTTTCTGATAGGCCAATCTGCGTCAAGGCTTCTAAATTCACGAAACGAGTGAGAGAAGGGAATTGCAAACGCACAAAACCGCTCTATTATTTTGTATAATGTATCATATCGGTACTGGGCAGCATGGTATCCACATCCAAAAGGATATGCTATCGATGGTTTATTTTGCGTTCTGTGTGGGTTTACTCGATGGAAATTTCCGAATCGAGCATGAACAATGAAGCCGATTCGTTTCAGAAATCTGAAATCTGACAGGGTTAAGAACTATCGCATGCTTGATTTAGATTGGGCAGTAAAGGGTGGTTCCGGGTTCACCAGAAGCGACCTTTTGTGGAAGTGTTTTCATATCGTGCCGCAGAGGGATGCCGTATCCGAGTCATAGAGGTGATCTCGATGAGATTGTAGAAAGCCCGAAGTGAACTTGTTTGACTTTTAGAAACAGTAACATCATGTTATGTCGATTGAAACAAATGTTATTTTTTCTTTTAGAAAAGTTCGACCAAGTGACAATTCTGTTCAGCGACATCGTGACCTTCACCAACATCGCTTCAGCCTGCTCGCCCTTGGACATCGTCAACATGCTGAATAACCTCTACCACCGCTTCGACAAGAGCACCAATGACCATGATGTCTACAAGGTAAGACAAGCCGTTGCTTTTTATTGTTTCTAGAGAGTGAGTTGGTTCAGTTATTTCACGGCGTGTCAGCTTGGTGTGGGCGGAAGCCCGGAGTGAGTGATGTAGGTCTTAAACTTAACCCAGGATTACGGGTGCTGACTCGTTCTGAGGTGTTAGGGGCAACCCACTAGTAGGGTATGGTGCTGACACATCTCCGAACATTTAGTGGGCGAATCTGTGATTCTGCCTCCCAGATGGTTATGAAGGGACTCGTCCTGATTCGCCGAATTTCGGGCTTTCCTCCAACACTAAGTTGACTCGTTGAAATATATTTGAAATACTGTTTTCAAACAGGCGTCAATACCCACTCACCCACTCAAATTAAGGTGGATGGTAGCAATGTTGTTGAAGCGTGTTCTCTTCACGCCGTAGACTCGGGTTTGATTCTCCATATGGGAGCAATGTTTGAAGCCCATTCTTGTTGTTTTGGTACGGCAGGAATAAGATATATTCTTAAAACGTCGTTTAACTTTTATTGGAATACCATGAACTCGTCACCTGATGCGACTTCATAGATGAAATCGAAAAAACATAAGTTCTTTTTCATTTCGATATGGCCTGGCAGAATGACATTCAAACCTAGATTTAACAAGTCACACTCCCACACTGACATAAGATGACACTTAAATGGTGATTATATTTGAAAAATGATTTTCTAGAATTTCATCTCTCAATAAAGATGAACATTCTGCTATTACGATGATCAATCAAATGTGTCCAATTCTCAAAATGGGAATCCGTAATCTAATATAACAACAAATGCATTCAAAAGGACTGGAGCTCGCTTTTAATGGGGAGTAAATTTGATTTGGTTGAAATTATGCTTGTGTTAGGGGACCATGGAATGACAGGACAACGCAATCAGATCATGTCAGGCTGCATTCCGAATTAATGTGGTGCAGATGTGTTGGTAGTACGCCAGTCCAAATGGCACCTTTTATCTAATTGAGGATTGAGGAAATAAAGGACCCATGAAGAAATTTAAAAGTATTCGTGCTGTGGGAATAATCCAGGAGATGCGCTGGGTTTTAATCCCCTTTAATTACGTTTCTCAACCAAAGAGATTTCAGGACACACTTCGATTTCTTAACATTAATCGTCAAAGATTGATATTTTACAATGGTATGCGGTTCGAATCCAAGATTGGTCTTTGATTTTTGGCCTGCTAGAACAAAGGTTAATAGCAAGTTTCGCCAAAGCGCGTGTATGATGTTGACATACCCAGAGACATAATCAGTGCGAATCTGGGAGACGAACCCACGATCATTGGTATCTGGCGCGCCAAAGGGACGCAACTCTCCACACAACGAGTTGCAGCGCCTTTGATACTGTAGCCCCCCCCCCCCCCCCCCCCCCCCACCATCCACCACCACCATTATGGTTTGGGAACTGGAATGGGCGTAGAACACCAAAGTCAAACTCTACTATCCTATTATCCATTGTGTTGCTGTGTTTAGGTAGAAACCATTGGCGATGCCTATATGGTGGTGAGCGGAGTTCCGGAGCCGTCCACCAACCATGCCAAGTCCGTCGCCGACTTCGCCATGGACATGGTGCAGGAAGCCGCCACAGTCAACTCCCCTGCAACTGGTAAACCTCTACAGGTAGGAACGATATCTCGTGTCTCATTTTGCGAATTTCTTTATTTTTTATATATTTTTAAAATTATAATTACCCTGAGAAGAACCAACAACCACGACTAAATACATACGTAAAACATTATTAAATTATTAAAATACAATGTCATTACGTGCTTAAATCAGCAATACGCTCAACTGACACAACTATATACTGTAGCCGATAGAGATAATTTTAAGATACTTTTTCAGGCAAATACGGGAAATAAAGAACCATTTGCCTTCATGGAAAACCTGTTTCAATATAAGTCATTTTGTAACGCGCCTAATATTCAACCTCGATGAGACTGCTTAAGGCGTTACGCTCAAAGCGCCTGGCAATATGGCTTTGACAACGGGTCAGTATTCATTGAAATTAAATTCTCAGCTCCCTTTGGTGTATATAACCCAGGCCGCCTGGAAGGGGCTTGAAGGTTTACATTCACATTATAGTAATCATTATCATCTCAGCACCCATGTGACATTAAGTCCGACGTGGGAATTCCAGGTTTGAATTGGTCTCCAGCAACCTATGCTTGTAGTACAAGGCGACTTAATGAATCGGGTTGTCAGGGTCGGTGACTTGGTTAATGGCCTGTGTCGTTGCTGAACTCATCAAATGGATGTGTCCCAGCACCCATTGCAAGTCGTAAGAGGCAACTTAGCTGGAATTCAGGAATTCAGGGTTAGACTCGGTCCCCAGCGATCTGTTCTTGTCATACGAGACTAGGCGACTTAATGGATCGTGGTCAGCCTCGGTGACTCAGTGTCATCGTAATGGATCATGGTCAGCCTTCAGTGTCATCGCACCCCGACGGCGGGGAACGTTACTCAGAATATCACTGGATTGTCTAGTTTGTTTGTTTGTTGTTTTACCGCCGCACTCAGCAATATTCCAGCTATATGATGGCGGTCTGTAAATAATCGAGTCTGGACCAGACAATCAAAGTGATTGACAACATGAGCATCGATCCACGCAATTGAGATACGATGACATGCATCATCCAAGTCAGGGAGCCTGACCACCCGAACCCGTTAATCGCCTCTTACGACAAGCATAGTCGCCTTTTACGGTAGGCGTGGGTTACTGAAGACATATTCTACCCCGGATCTTCATGAGTCGGATTGTCTAGTGCACACTTGATTATTTACGGGCTACACATCCCTTTAATATTGATGAGTTAATCAACAAACAAGCTATAGCTAAGGAAGTAACTCCCTTTTTGTCCCCCAGATCCGAGTGGGGGTCCATACAGGCCCCGTGGTGTCAGGGGTCGTAGGGATGAAGATGCCTCGCTACTGCCTGTTTGGAGACAGCGTCAACACGGCATCCAGGATGGAGAGTCATGGCGTCCCGGGCAGGATCCACGTCAGTCCCACCACATTCAGGTACCACGTAGTCGACATTTTTAATCTCCCCATGGGAGGCGTTTCTATCCTTGGTTAATGTATGTTATTTTCCAATTTGTTTTTAATCTAAAAAAAAGCAATTCAGCTTTTTTTAAATGTTAGCTAACAACACTGGAGTGGAGTGAAAACAGCTGCTTGGAGTATTATTGAATGAATAGTAGCATAGTGACGTCATTTCCAAAGTCGATCCGTTTTGGAAATATCTTCATGGTTTACGTTTAAGATGCGGGGACAAGATACAAAAATATCTTAATCAGAATTTCGATTGTGTTCTATATTTTGGGCATTTGTTTACGGAAAAAATGTTTTCTGAACAACTAAATCTTTAGCCTGTCTGTAACGATTCAACTAGAAACGGGTGCTCTGAGATATTGCGTTCAGCGTCAGAGTAACATGGCAGTATTTGCAATCATTAGTAGGATTTTTTTAGATAATTCCTAGTTTTGAACATTAAAAAAGAGATAATCTCTTCATGTTATGTTATTCAGTTCGCCTAAATGTGTTAGTGTTTCAACCATTGAAAAACTAACATATATAGGCGAACTGGATAACATTTTAGGTAGCTATTTCTTCACTTCAGATAAAATATGGACACCCAAAAATGCTATGATATTAATTTCCAATATTGGATAAATCACAAAGAGTACATTTCCTCTCTGGCAAGAATAATTTCTTCCATCACCCAACTTCAGTTGGCAAGTCCTACTAAAGAGTACACGCAAGTGTAGGGCTAAATGTGGAGCGAGCTCGAGGATTTAGTTTTCAATTATGAGTTCGTTTTTTTAATATACGGTCGGCAGCACTTTTCAGCAGTTTCAATCCAAACGTCAATTTGTAAATAGTGCGGAGAAATCCTTAAAAAGAGTACATGAAGGTGTAGGGCCATATAATTTAGTTATTGATTTTGAGTTTTAAATATATGGAGAGATTTGAAATATCCGCCTCCCAATGTTGCCGATTGATATAATTAAATTTTATATTTGTAAATAGTGCATTTTCTAACTGGGCAGGGGGCGGTCGGGTAGCCTAGTGGTTAAAGCGTTCGCTCGTCACGCCGAAGACCCGGGTTCGATTCCCGACATGGTTACAATGTATGAAGCCCATTTAAGGTGTCCCCAGCCGTGATATTGCTGGAATATTGCTAAAAGCGGCGTTAAACCATACTCACTCACTCTCTCTAACTGGGCAGATGAACTAAGATGTGTCTAAGCCATACAGAAGACATTCTAACCTTCACATTGTTAATGACTGACAAGATTGGATTTGTGGACAATAGGGCCGAACTGGGTTCGAGTGGTTCGACACGGAATTCGAATTACTTTTTCCTCAGTCAAGTGTTGTATATTACCGAATCCTGGAAATGACCAGTCTAACATAAATGGTCCCAACGGAAAGACCAGTGACGTGTTCATGTCCTCTCTCTTCAAAGCGGACTTCGAGATGCGAAACTACGACCACGATTCTACATGTATGTTAGAGTATTGAAGAGGGGGCACAGAAACATTGAGAGGCTCTTTGTATGTGATTAAAACATGACAATACAAACACATATATCCTCCCTCATCCCCCCCCCCCCCCCCCCAACCTACCCACCCAACATCAAGCTGATACGCCGTGATAAAACTGAAACACTGTTCAACAACTCACGTAACGAGTATCACTCAATATCCTACTGCCTTTATCGCATGGTTTTAGTTTGGTATGTGTATTCTCGTAGCCAATTCATTTAAAGTATAAATTAATCAGGTGACCATTGTTTCCAGATGTATACGAAACAACGGCTACCAGTTAAAGAAACGCGGACGGATTCAAGTAAAGGGTAAAGGTGAAATGACCACGTACTTCCTCGTTGGCGACGAGAACCGCAGAGTCGTAGAACCAGATGACGACTTCACCAGTCTCTCCGTGGACTCAGACTTCTGTTCGGATTGTGAAGAAGTGACGTCATCCGAAAAAGCTATGACGCCGAATTCTGACGTCAGTGAAAGGTCATTGAAGTCATCAAAGCCCGGATCAGGAAGTAAGAAGCGGGCCCATCGAAGCAGGACGTGTAATCTATTATAGCAGAACAGAATAGTGGAATGTTTCTTTCTTCAGGGAGGCAGATATGGGATTTCACCTTGATGCTGGAACGATTTCTTGCCGTACAGTGATTAACGGTTTTGTGTACACAACGCTCCTTCAACGCCTGTGAATCCATACAACCGCGTTGCAGTTCAGTCTCTATTTTTAACCAACCAATCAAACCACGGCCTGGTACCGGCGAGAAGGAAACCAGGGAGTGTACAGGCCAATGAGCGCTCAGCTTACATCGCACAAATGGTAACGTTTCCCGTTTGACAACGTATCGAACATGTGCCACGGGCTTAGGATTTTTGTTATTCCAATTGTATTGTTCACTTCTGCACGGATTTCATTTGGCGTCCATGAATTATAAACGTTAATGGCTCACTGATACTCGTCACCACTTTGTGCATTGTGCATTGCGGACTCATGCATTCATTGGTGATGGCGGAGTCCAGTGTCCATAAGACCGTGAAGCATTGACGATGAGAAAGATATGAAAACAAACAAAAAACTGTGCTGCTAACGTGAGTAAGAGAATCGGTACACCGCTACCACTTTTCAAAAGCGGACTTACTGACAAACTTCAGAATAACCTGCTTAAAATTCATATTTGAAGTTCATGGATATGTTTCTGTGAGGAAAGGTCATTTCTTTATTGTTGTTTTAAAGGAGCAGGATAAACAAAATATGACTAGTACGCGACGATGTGGACAAATGTGTACTTTTATATCTTGCAGTTTAAGTCTTATCTGTGCATTTTTTAGTTTTCATGTAGGAAGAGTTGTTTCTTGATTTAATTTATATTTTGTGAGTAATTTGTTATTTGCATCTTGGTCAGCAGCACACAGACGATACCGATATCAACCCCGATTATCCAGTGTATTGCATGTAGGTCTCCATTTAATTGTGATAAATACTCTCATCTTGTTCACCACTCGTCCTATTCGGAAATACTAGCGGCCAAAAACATTCCATGATCATAAGAAATCTGTGTTGAATGCAAAGTCCAGTGTACGAGTCAAACTATATCGTATGAAGAGAATTTATCTCGCTTGTGAGAATAATTTGATTGGACAACAATATTTGACGTCGTGCTGTTCGAAACGGGCGCAAAACGAAGCAATAGTAGCGAATAGGCCCAGATTGTTTGTGAAAACATAATGGCTATATCATACACTGGATAGTCATAGATGTACAGATACAGGACACTTTTTTGTGTTAAATTGTTTCTTCGCTTTCCCATATTTTTTGTATGTACATGCACTTTACTTCAGTAAAAGTATCGTAATGTTTTGTGTGTTTGGACTCATGGTCAGTCTTTAGAAGAATAGGAAATTTAGTTATCAACGACTATTTTGTAGTTTATCAATCAATGTTTGTTTAATTTATCTATTGTTAATCCTTACCTTTTATATCTCAATACAGTTTGTTTGTAAGTTGTAGCTACATATCAAAGATTTATGAATACTTTCAACAAATGAACTCCGAAATAGCTTTTGATGGACATACGTCGTAGCAAACCATATGTATTTTAATATTATATATTCACTGACCACAGACCAAAACATGGAGACGAAACAACATAAAATAGTAGGTCTAGTTGGTATTCAAGAGATGTTTCATATATCCCACTGCCCGGTGACTGGTAACCCATTATGTTGACGGTCCTGTACAAGCGAGGACATCTCAGACATGAGGTTCATATAACATGTGAAGTAAATACTGAATACTCAAGTGTGTCGATCTAAATTTTGAGATATCTTTTTAAGTTTTTCAACTTTAGTATTTACACAGTTGCAAATAGTGTATTTGATTTTGATTATTCTGCCAAAATGATACTCAAGAGCCATGTTGATGGAATAATGGGACGATACATTATCGTACATGATTAAAGAATGAGTGTTTTGTACTTGTGTTTGTGTACAGATAACAATTCTTAATGTTGTACGACATACTTCTTGGGTTTGTGTTACGGACAAAGTTTACTGATACGTGTTGTTTGTTGGTTTCTCTGTAATGCTAAAACACATTAGTTCACTTTGGCATGCTATATAACAATTCACTTTGGTATGGTATAAAACAATTCACTTTGGCATGGTATAAAACAATTCACTTTGGTATACTATGAAACAATTCACTTTGGCATGGTATAAAACAATTCACTTTGGTTTACTATGAAACAATTCACTTTGGTTTACTATGAAACAATTCAATTTGGCATGGTATAAAACAATTCACTTTGGTATACTAAAAAACAATTCACTTTGGTATACTATGAACAATTCACTTTGGCATGGTATAAAACAATTCACTTTGGTATTGTATAAAACAATTCACTTTGGTATGGTATAAAACAGCTCACTTTGGTATGGTATAAAACAATTCACTCTGCAGGCATGGTATAAAACAATTCACTTTGGCATGCTATAAAACAATCAGAATTCTGCTGTAATACGGTTATGTGTATGTTTCATCTGTCTGAAGTGTTTTGTTGAACTATTTGTTCAAGCAGTAAAGGTGAAAGTTGACATGAATTTTATGTTCATCTTATTTGTAGTTTATATTTTCCTTTAAAACATTACCTTGCTAGATACTGTTTCCAAAATTGATAAGATATATCTAAACTATACATTTCTGTTCATTATATATGCTTTGTATATATAGTTTGAAAAATGAAAGACGATATTAATATCATTAATATCTATAATATGAATCTTCAGACAACGAATGATCATCTCAGGATAATATTTGAAAATATCATAATGTACAAAATGATATATAAATATACACCAAAGCCAATGGAGAATGATATATACGTGACGTTATCGTATTGGCACTTTCCTGGATTTGTTCAAGAACTGTCACCTACAACACCGCCGCTGCACTGAGAAAAACTGTCAGTTCAGATGTCCATCATTACAAGCCATAGCTGTGTCAAGAAGCACACAGTTATACATGTATATGTATCCAGGACAGTACACAACAACCTAAAGGGGGTTCACATTTTGCTATGTGTATTATCCGCTGCATTTTATATCCTGAATTGTTTTTGTAACTGATCTCTAAAAGAGTATGACCCTGGTTTCTCAGCACCAAACCCATGACCATGTGTTTCCAAATGTGACGCATCAGTGACAAGAATGATGTCCCATGGAACTCCCTATTTTGACCTGTACATTGTACCATATGGTCCCTTGTTTTGCCAGGTGAACAGTTGACTTGCCTTTGCATGTATTTGTGACGGTGGGACAGGATACCTTTTGGCGAACACCTGGTATCATCATTATTTAAAGTGATTTAGGAACGCATGCTCATAATAATAATTGTACAATAGACGTTGCTTTTGGCAGAGACTTCATATGAATATGGAAAGGGTATTGTCGCTTTTATTTATTTGTGACTGGTGCCACGGTTGATGCAGAGTACGCTAACCTTTTCATTACTATTAATAGTCATTCATAAACACATGCTAGTGATATTGTCAGAATCGCCCATGGACCATTGGTAAACATCTACAGTCCGCATCGCCTGTGTTTCGCTCATATTAACACGTATTAATATACACATATTAAGTGCTGCACATAGAACTCCGCATTCGGCGAAATAGTGAGTGAGTTGGGTTTAACGCCGCTTTTAACAGTATTCCAGTTACCCACGAGCACGGGTATTGTGCTGACAAACCTAGAAATATAATCGGGGCGAACCGGGATTCGAACCAACAATCATAGGTATCTGACATGCCCAAGGGACGCAACTCTGCACAGCGAATCGCGGCGCCTTAGACGACTGGGCCACCCGTGCCCCCTTGGGCGAAATAACGAAAATGTATGCATGTTTATAACCTCGTTAATATGGAAGGGGAAGAACATTATTTTGTTTTTTATTGATCAAAATGGTTATCCATTGTCTTTTCTTGGAGACTACATGATGTAAACTGCAGTAATTACTCATGGATTATACTGATGACGCATGTTGTACGGATCTCAGCTCCTCCTGTACGGCCCGCTTCATAATGTAAAGGGGGGCACAGGTGGCCCAGTCGTCTAAGGCGCCGCGATTCGCTGTGCAGAGTTGCGTCCCTCGGGCACGCCAGAAATCTATGATTGTGGGTTCGAATCCCGGCTCGCCCCAATTATGTTTCTAGGTATGTCAGCACCATACCCGTGCTCGTAGGTTTCACCGAAGTGGTAAACGTCTTAGACTTGCATCACTTCGGGCTTTCTTCCCACATTAAGCTGACACGCCGTGATATAACTGGAGTAATGTTAAAAGCGGCGTTAAACCCAACTCACTCATTCACTCATAATGTAAAAATGGAGAGCTTAAGGTATTCATTGTTGACATGTACACACTTAATGCGGTAATAATCACGGCCTGGTTCGATACCTCTTTGTATAACCATAATGTGTGTTGCAAGCTGATTGGTTAAAAGAGTTGTTAAAATCGGATTTCAAGTTTGGACTTTTCACTGGGTATAAATACGTTTGTTTCATAATACACTACCATTATTTCTTTTCCACATATGCAAGGAAGTAGCATTGTCATGGCAACATAAATATCAATATTCAAGATAATTTGTTAAATTTTAATTTTGATTCATATTTACTGGAAAAACAAACATTGATGTGCTTGTTCTGCATTTAACTAGAAATTCAGTTGTGATGGAGGTGTATGACGTTGTAACATGAAGTCATATCGTTCCAGAATTACGTCATACTCGTCCTTTTTGTGATGGTGCACATTACATGGTGTTCGTTTAGTGAGAGAAATATTGGGTTTGAAGATGTTACATGAACACTGTTTACACATGTACTCACATTTTAAGCCTGTATGTGAAGAGGGATGCTTTAGAGATTGCGAGCACGTATAAAAAATAGCAATATTTGCATTTTGACTATTATAACATTTTCTTATGAAGCTGATTTTCTTTGTCCTTGAAGTGCATAATTTGAGAGCAAATCATCCAAAGTGGAGATAAAGTCATTATTTCAGACTATGATTTTGTTCTGAGATTCTATAAAATGCCTGCTCATATCGATGCTTTAGATTGTTATTCCATGAAAATACCGCCAGCTTGGCCATCTCATTACACGAACAGAACATTCAGGTCAGTGCTGTCATTGTCATGATTGTTTTTTCGTGATGTTATTAGCCCCTTTAAAGGATGGATATCACAGATTTTATCATAGCTCTAATTGTGTTCAATCAGGCAAGGTTTAGATAACGATTTTGGGAAATGTGAGAATATTTTTTTGTGTCTTGAAGTTTTCTTGTGAATATTAGCCATAACAATATATCTTCTTTTACCAGATTACAGACCTGCTTCAGGGTTAGGTCTCGGCTTTTCTCGCCATGCGTGATCTCATTAACCCTACGTATTAATACATTCGTGACCACGTGTGTCATTCCGGGACAATCCCTGTGTCCCTGATCAATACCTTTTTACCCAGTTAGTTCCATTTTCACGCAAACGAGCATAGCGAAAAACTTGTCAAATTGTTGTATCGCCTTTGCTTTGTAATATATGACGGTTGCCATTTAGGGACACTCTAGATATATGTATAGTGTCGTGACACAATTATGGCTGTCACGTGGTAACTTTACCTATAAACTAAAACATTAAGGAGGAATTATTTGAAAGTTCGTACAGTCATATGCGCATTGTGATTGGTCTGTTGTGTTTTCGAACTTCGATCGACAGGGGCGAATGTTCTTCCTGGTTGCGGAACGAATTCGAAGCGAGTGCTGACGAATGCATCTGGATTCCACATGATCACAGTATATGCATATGCATTCTGTCTCGCCTTGCTTTGGGGGCGGTCGGGTAGCCTAGTGGTTAAAGCGTTCGCTCGTCACGCCGAAGACCCGGGTTCGATTCCCGACATGGGTACAATGTGTGAAGCCCATTTCTGGTGTCCCCCGCCGTGATATGGCTGGAATATTGCAAAAAGCGGCGTAAAACCAAACTCAATAACAATCGTCTTGCTTTGATCAACATGTTTCACTTAGATGTAGACCTTCTATGAGTAAACCTGTGGGTATTATTTTCAGAATGTGAACCTGGTGGCTCCCCTTGGCCAGATTTGTTGCTCAGTATTGAACAGCCTTCTAATGAGAAACGGCTTATTACATGTAGGTTCAATGACGTGGCTGACTGCGAGTCAATTTACCAAATAGCGTGGATCGGTGCTCATGCTTTCAATCACTGATTTTCCTGGTATAGATTCGATTATTGCCATGGCCTAGCTGAAGTTAAGCCAACTGCGGCATTAAACAGCATTCAACATTCGGAAATTGTAGATAGACATGCAAAATGACACGACTTCATGTCATGTCTGCCTTTGAATGTTAAAGATATACATTTAATGTACATATCAATATACAGCTGTTGACGCACTTGTACAGTTATAGAAATGTGAATAAATATAGACAATGTCACTCTAGAGGACCAGGTTTATTGTGTTTATTATCATCATAAAGATAAAAAAGCGCAATATAGTTAAAATCTGATCTTTACGCATGTAGGAAACTGTCTTGAACCTGTAACATCCTCGAGTTTTGTGACACAAAATATGTCAATTCATTTCATTTCTCTGCAAGTTCTATCTGCCAGAACCTCCATTTACATTCAAGTTTAGCAAAGATTAGCAGATTTCATGGATTGTATAGTTTCATCTGTCGTAGGAATAGGAAATCTTGCCCTCAGCCCTGTTTTGTTGACTTCGCGATGATGAGTGAGTGAGTGAGTGATTGATTTGGGTTTAACGCCGCTTTTAACAGTATTTCAGTTATATCATGGCGTGTCAGCTTAATATGGGAGGAAAGCCCGAAGTGATGCAGGTCTCACACGTTTATCACTTCGGTGAAACCCACGAGCACGGGTATGGTGCTGACAAACCTAGAAACATACTCGGGGCGAACCGGGATTCGAACCCACAATCATAGATTTCTTGCGTGCCAAAAGGAAGCAACTCTGCACAGCGAATCGCGGCGCCTTACACGACTGAGCCACCCGTGCACCCAGGAACACAATGAATGATAAATAACCAACATGAAGCAGTCTTTACCATCATCTATAATACGGTGTCTGACTGGACAGCTTCTATCTCAGAATAATAAGGAGGTTGAGCATTGGGTTGTACATATTAATTGCTATTAACCGTGATTGTGTATTAACCGTTAATTATACCAATTTCATCAAACACATCTTCAATATCTTTAAACAAATGAATTTTCAGCTGAAGAAATATTCAGTAAGTATACGTAATGATCTGTAAAGACGTCCTACCCGAAAATACTTTATTGCCAGCCATGACGTTTATTCTATTATCATTTCATGGGTAGGTTTCTCGGCAGGATAAAGCCTACGGATAAAAACGATATCCGCTGGTGTCATATGCGGATAGAGATGCAAATATCAAAGGTCAAGTAGGGACTACTTTCAGTGTTTATGAACAAACATGGCGTCGCCCTTGCCATTCGGCAATCGAGTCAATCAACCATCGGGAATCTGGATAAACTACACAGATAATTGCTATCAGTATCATACTTAAAAACTTTGGCAATTTTGGAGATATAAATTTCGAAACAATTTTGCGAGGGCACTAGGCCTAGCCAAGCGGGATCAGTAGCCATAACTGTGCTTGTAGACCTCTGAAGCTTGAAACCTTATCCACAAATTAAAATAGGTGGATTTGGCCGAAATATGTTTGAATTGTTACCTTGTTTCGCTTTGTCGCTGTGTGTACATCCGATTGCACTTCTTAGCGTTATGACAGGACAGACCGACTGTCAACAACGTCTGAACGTGCCCGTGACGTCCCATAGACTAGGGTTAGAGTAGCTTCCCTTTGACAAAGGGCAGTTACTCTAGCGGACAGACCAATGGATTGCCGCGAAATGCAAGTAAAAACAATTGTTGTTTTGCGTATATGTTGCTTCGCCACTGTATAAGAAACTGATTTCAGTTGGTACTATATTGGCTACTGTCACTGTCCGACTGACACATCA